ATCCAATTATTTTGCATCAGCGCTTAGATCAAAATGCATTAGTATGTTCGACAACCGAGCCCCTTTATTACTCTGAATACTAGTTTTCCTATATTTAAAAAGGCAACCACTTCACTTTCAGGCCCAACTTCGTTAGGCAGTTCTAGACAAGAAATTCGCCGAGAAGTAAATCGAATACTCTTATGCTGTGGAGAATAAGTGAAGTGAACTTCTATTAATATGTATAGGCTATATGTATTGAAGTTCATTTTGGAGTCTTTTCTACGGACTTACGATTGAAATGGTGTGTCCGATTACCTATCCACTTTAGTGCTTATCAAGCGGATATGTTAACGAATTAAACTCAAAGACAGAGTTGTCTTTAAAGTTTTCTGGAAGAGTTTTGGTTTGCAACTGACTATACTGATCACTGCAGTGTTTATCAAGGAAGAAGCCTATTTACTTAAGTAAAAATGTAGTATAAAAAATTAGACGAAGCCTATTTATTCAAGTAAAAATGTGGTATAAAAAACTATGATAAGTATATACTCAAATTTTCAAGCGGTCATCAAAGCAATAACTTCGATGGTAAAGATTGAACGTTTAGGATTAATCAGGACTGTCTTGTAGCTCTATGTCAGCAATATCTATATAATGTCAGATTCAGGGTACGGCTGAAATAGATTTCGAAGCATTAGCTTTATGCTTCGACAAAAGTGATCTTAGAATATCTATTGCCATTTATTGAGTGTTATTATTGTTGCAAAAATATGTTAATTGAGAGATGAAATTTGTACTGGTGTAATAAAAAAATTCATCTGGTATTCGGGTTAATTCTGTATTCTGTTATAAGAAAAAATCAAGCGTCTTACGGAGCCTATCAAAGTATGACATATCTAATATCGTAGTTGTATAACCGGCTACTGATAGATATGCTCTTAGACTGACACTGCCCTCTTATCAATACTGTAAAAATTGTGAAATAAAGAGAAGGAAAAAACAGAGGCTGCCCAGCTTTGGTCACAAGGAAAAAAGTTTCTAAGGATAATCAAGAGTTCATAATATCTCACAATTTGCAGAAGCTTAGAATAAAAATATCCTGTACTTTATTAGTACCTTAAAATGGCTTTATAATTATCTAACGGTTAGTACCCGTATTAAGTTGTAGTATTACAATGGAACGTAGAAACCAAGTGAGTTGTTCAATTGAACCGACTGTCACAGTAGCCTAACTTAACCCAGGTCATCAATAAATAAGATAAATAAATTATATGAATTTAATTATTACAGTTGAAATTATTACTAAAACTTTTAAATTATATACAACAGAAACCAAGAAAAATAGTGATAGTATGATAGAATACATTTATCTTTAGAACCTGCTGCTTGTAGTTTTTTAAAATATATTTGTTATTTTAAAAAAGTTAATATTAATTTGTTATTATGTATGATTATATGTAGGATATGTGAGATTATTGTTAATTATTTACAAAAAAAAAAAAACAAAATATGAAAAAATTAGTAATTAAATATATTATTTAGGAAATAGTTTCATTAACTTTTCTAATCGTTTATAGTTCATTTTGCTTAATAATTTATATTTATAAATAAATCTAGTTAGAACATAAGAAACTATTTATTAATTTTTATTTTATTTATTTTATAAGATTGTCAGATACATTAACATATTTGCAAAAGTTTCTTAAGGACA